TGGATCTTCTATGCAATTTCTCTCCCCCACTTTCGCATTTGTTACTTTTTTACATGTTTTAATTCTATAAACATATTTATTCATGTGATTTAATAACCACAATTTGTGAGTCAGTAAAATTCACCAAGTATTTGATAACAAGATGGAAAGTTGATTAGTAATCTGGTCAAGAATTAAGCTAAAAGACCTGCATTTTAAGAAAAATCACTTCTTTTTATAAGCTTATAGCAAATCAAAAACCTAACCCTACCATGTACTATCATCCTGGCACCGCATATATAACTAGTGGCCGGGGCTGAGTTTGAACCCACCACCTCCAGCATATGGGGCTGGTGCTGCCCCACTCCTTTGAGCCACAGGCACCACCCTAAATTTTCATTTTATAATTTTTTCACTATAGGTTTACATGACATTCTCAAGAAAATCATGTGTTCATTGACTGGACGTGGTTGGCTGATTTCATGTGCCAGGTTCTTTATATCGTTTTAGTGAAATTGAACTTTTACTTTTCTTGTCGACCAGAACTCTGTCAAAATGCAACATATGAAAATGTATGCTCAGCAGAAATATCCTAAGTGTTCTGGACATTTATTTAAGGAAATGAACTTACTAAGTTTGGAAATCATAGGGTTCTTTTTTACCTTTTTTCTAAAATAGGAAATAAGATTTCTCCCATGTTCCTATAGATGCTTAATCTATAGGAATTAACTATGATTCCAACTCTTAGATAGGATTTTAAACACTTTATATTAAAATATTTCTCATATTTACCTCCTTGATTAGAGATAGGGCCTTTAATCTACCCTTTACAAAATAAAAAGTCAGAAATACAGAAAAAGTGTAGAGTATAAATGTCTTAATACAATAACTAAGAAAATGCCGTGAAGCCTATGTTAACCAGTTTGATGAAAATATTTCAGATGGTATATAAACCTAGCACATGGTACCCCATGATTGCATTAATGTACACAGATATGATTTAATTTAAAAAAAAAAGAAATACAGAAAAATAACTAGTGTTAGTTTATTCAATAAACACAAACATGATGCTCAAGATTTTGAAATATAGTAAAATACTAAATCTTCATTCATACAAAGTCCATCCATTTTATATGAATGGACAGATAAAATCTAATTTTTATATTAAGTATGTTCAAATTTTATGGCTCTGAATATAGCCAAAAATGTCCCTGTGATGGATTTAAGACATTTGGAATCTGAACCCCATTTTTACTGTCATCCATTGTACTGAAATGTACGACAGTGCCTACTTCCCATGTCGCTGTCCCCACGGTGCTTACTTTCTAGACTGGAGTAAGTGGACCGTTAGTTCGGCAGTGACTGTGGCTAATGATGAAAGAGTAAAGTGTAGCCAAGTAAAATGGCAAGTGCAGAGGGGCAGGCTATGGTATTAAAAGCATGGAACATCCTTGAAAAAGTAACATTTGAACAACTAACTTAAAAAGTCAGAGGGTCAGCTAACTGGTCTACCAGGGAAAAACTCACAGGCATGGAACCAGCTGGGGCGTGCGTCCTAACACGGAGCAAGCTGGGGCTATCTGAGATCTCTTGCAGGGTTTTGAGCTGGGGAGAGCCATGTGCCAGGTTTGCTCAAAGTGTTTTATGTGTACTGACCTATTTGACCCCCCAAATAACCTCAGGGAACCAGTTCCAGTTTTTATTTGTAACAAATGATAAAACTGAAGCATGGGGGGAGTTAGGTGAGCTGCCCAGAGGTGAACCCTTATATAGTAAGAGGAATTCTTATATAGTAAGAGATCTAGGACCCCCTGAAGGACACACACACATGTGCAAACTTTGCACTCACACACGTGCACTCACGCCGGCCTGTGTGCACACACAGCCACACAGCCACGAACACGTCCACACGAAGGTGGGACAGGAGCTGAGAGAGCAGAGAGGCCGGTTGGTCCCCCACTCTGTTTATTCCTCCTTGTTTGATTCTCTCTTACATATTTTACTTATTCAGCTTTGATTCAAAATATTTGTTTAAATGAAAGATGTTCAAATTGAGAGCATCTGGAGCTATTTTAAAAACAGCAAAATCAAATTAAAAATTCTTAAGGTGTAAAATAAATATATATACAAAG